TCAGGTCCTGAAATACATCCACTTCATCCTGAGACATCTCACTGCAAGACGCCCATCACGGCATTTTACTTTGCCCATTTGCCAACAGAGAAGTGTGAGGACAAAAAGATAGAAAGTGTGTGCGTGTATAAGAGTGAAAAAGTTTGCCCCAGTCCCTTCATCTGGGTTGCTTTGATAGAAAATATCCAAGGTCAAACCTTTCTCTAGCCTCCATATATTCATCTCAATGTCGGAATACAGAATATTTGCACCTTACCCTGAACTTTTCATACCTATGCTACGACAAAAAGATCAATGCATATTTTCAATCATCTTTACCATTGACCAGATATTTCTGGTGCATGCATGGGTGCCCACACATGGACATGTTCGTGCACTCGCCCCAACCTCTTACCTTCTAAGTACTCCTCCTAGGAGGGATGCATTCAGACACTCGGGAGGAGAAAGGCGTCTTTGAACTTCTCCCACAGTTACTTTATACTTTGAAGTTGAGCTAAGCAAAGACAAACGGCCAGGTACAGAGCAAAACACCTCTCCGGTATTGACTGAAATTCCACCCAGGAAGCCATCTTTATTCATCATCAAAGAAGTAACAGATTTTGGAGGAACCGGAACTGGAGAAAGAAAAGGGGAGGAGGGGAGAGAGAAACCATCATGCCGCGAAGGAGTGTAGAATAATCAGTCTCCCTGACATGCACAGAACAGCAAAATGTAAAGGGAATTTTGAATCCCTAGCTAGCTCCAGCAACCTAAAGGGTGCTGCTCCCCCAACCTCTAGGAAACTGCTCCATGAATGATGGATGGAGAGAAGGGTGGTGCAGTACAGCCTCTATGCAAGGTTTGAGCATTAGGAAATAAAATACATATTGGCAAGCACCTGGCAAATTTCGGGTTTGAGCCTGTGTCTCACCCAGAGCCCCCCGATGCCTTTTGTACAACGGACAGCGCCTTTCTGGAGGGGAAAAAAAGAGGAAAATTTACTTTTTTTGTGCTAATGTTTCCATTACTGCTAAGCTGAGCCAGGAATAAATTCACTACATGAAGGGAGTTGCTGTCTTAAGTAAGTATCAAGGCTGGAGGACACAGCAAGCAGAAGACAGCTCTGTTATTGCTTTTGTGTTTTTATTAAGTCTGGTTTATGAAATAAAATGAGTCTTTTCCTTCAGAAAAATGAACACCAGAATAATAATAAAAAAATAATAATGAAAAAAGAAAGCTGGTCTAACCCTGGCATTTGCCACCTTGATCATATTGTGCTGTTCGTGAAGCAGTGGGAACTCTCCCTTCCCAAAATAAAGCTGATCTACTTCTGTAACACATATTTAAAGGAAGTTAAGGGGCAAAAAGTCAAAACAGAGCAATAAAATGAAACTATATTAAATAAAACCGTGTTATTCTGTCCACGATACAACGAAATCGTCCTTTTCTCTGAGAAACTAGGAAGGTTATTTTAAGAGTAACCAGGGGGATTATAGTGAACAAATTCCTATAATAGCAACCAGACACACTCAGAAATAAACAAACAAAAGAAAGGCTAAACCAAAAATGAGAGCCATTCCCTCGTGACATGAATTTTGTTTACAAATGAAGTTAAACAGCTCCCTCATAATTGTGTGTAACTGTTATGATTTACAGCAGGTGCTCTAATCAATCAACAAATCACTTTAATTTATAGGGAGCCTCGCTGCATTTTCCCAGTTGTTTCATTTCTGCAAGTAATTGATAACAAACCGTACTTAAGGTATGTTTTATGCAGGAGTTAATAAGAGCTGACAGCTGCTACTGCTGCTTCCTCTTGGAATCGCGGCCACACGCGTTTCCTTGCAGAAAATCTACTCCGAAATGGAGGGGTTTGCTGGTGGTAGAGCCCGGGCATGTTTCAGAGGAGAAGACTAATTGATTACACACCCTAGTCGAGCAGATACTACTTCACAGTCTCCCATTTCCACTCAATCAATTGTAAAACCAATTCGGCAAATAATAGGGTTCTATTATGCACATATGCCAGCTATTTAGGTAGTTATAATACATGTCAGTTAAGCCATAAAAACCCTGTTTATTTGCAACATATCTGGAGAATCAAACCATTAAGGTTGAGGGGATATTTAAGTCGTCTGGAGCTGCTAAACAATAAGATCGGGTATCCTAATATATTACCAAGTGCTAACTACTGGGCAATTGCCAATTTTATAACCTCAGACTATGGAATAGACACAACCGTGTTTCACTGTTTTTATTACAGATCATTTCCTATTGCCAGACCAGACCCCCACAATAAAAGCTCTATAACAGCTAAAAACCAAAAGGCATGTCGATTTTAGATATACAACTTGCTTCATATGCCTTGTATATAGTCTCCAGTATAAACAAATTATTTTGAGTGGCTTTACTTCAGGGAATCGAAAAGTGAAATGGATTCCTATTTCTCTATTATTTTTAGTTAGGCACTTTATGCAGCTCATAAAGGCGGTTTGAAATAGTTTGAGAAAGGCAAAGAAACAGTTATAAAAGAGTTAGAGGCCAGCTCCTACTTTAGTTGCTATTAATAGGATTTTTTTACTATTATTTTTTCCTTGGATTCTCTAGGTAAAGACTCTGTGGCTATCAGAGGTAGGAATGGAAGAGGAAAAAAACCCACATATCTTCCCATCTTTATGCACGACGTTCTGCGACGTCATTCGAGTGAACCATCAAGAGAAAGTAACAGATAACAAAACAAAGCCAAACACTTAGGTGACAGCAGTGCCACCAGACAGATTGTCATGACTGGCATTTTTTTTTCCCTTCGGACAAACACACGGGCTCAGCGGTTCGTGTTCACCTTTACAGTGGCTATATTTAGTGACCAGTTTATCAGGTCACTGTCCAGTGAACTGAGAAATTAAACAAGAGGCAGCAATTCCACGAACATCTGATCTTAGTCCAAATTCACTAAAGAGAGAGGGACCCGTGCAATGCTTAAATGTACCTCACACCACTGGCTTTGGCCTGTGGGAGCACTCATTACATTAGTTAACCTTTGAAATATGGATTTTCACGAGCTCGGTTTTTGTTGTTGTGTTTTGTTTGGGGTTTTTTTTGCCTTGCAAATTGCTTTTGGGAAGCAGGTTGGCTCCCTTCCCCGCTATGCTGAGAGCTCCCCAGCTTTTCTGCCTACCACTGCCTCCCAGAAAAGGACCATATGAACATGCCCATCAATTGGAGTCTAATAACTCTAAACCCATTTTAAAGGCTTACCAGGCGGTGTAAGCATATCTATTGCAATTTCATAGCTTCAGAGAGATGTATTCTATCTAGACTCCATATCTTCTGTAAATTACCTAATGCTGCCTCAAAAAAAGTGTTTGCCCTGGAATGAATTATCTCTATCTATATCGTATCTATATGTTTATCACGGCTGTAACTTTCAGATAGAACCCAGACATTAGCAGAGAGAATCTAACGTGGAGGTTTCAGTGGGTGAAGAGATTCACATGCCCGCGTGTGCGGCTGCGTGTGTCAAATCTTTTTGTGTATGTAAACAAACTATAATGCAGAGTGTATTTTTTAGTCGATGTCAACTTGCCCGGTTGGTTAGAGATTGCCACCACTGCTGAAATAACACAGAATAACATTCACGGGTATAGGCAGCATCCCCAACATTTCTGCCTTAACTTTCTCTCATTTAGTTCTTGTCATCCCCAGCGCAAACTGTTCGATTTTCTTTCACTCTATTCTCTGTGTGTATGTGAGCATTCGCAAATACGTAATTCCCTTTTCCAAAATCTCTGCATTCTCTTATTCTTTATCTTCCTTTATTTCTCTTTCCATCTCTCCTTTCTCTATCTTTTTATTTTCTCTCCTTTCTCTTTTTCTCTCCCTATTTCCCCTCTCTCTCTTTTTCTCCTCCTGTGGTTACTTCCAGCCTCTTTGTCATTTCTCCCCCCTCCATTTCTCTTCAGCTTATCAATAAACCGGGAGAGCAACAGTAGTCGCTTGATTTGTTAGTAATTATAAACATACTGTTCCTGCAAACGGGATCTCTAGATGAGTGAGATCGCTTTAAAACGACAGCAGGAAATGGTGGGGAAATGGAGCATGGCGAAACTCAGCGTGAAGCTTTCAGTTCTTTACATGTTTACAATTTTCTGTGCATACATTAAGTCGTAGGGTTGGGTTTTGGTGGTTGTTTTTTGTTGGGTTTTTTTTTGGTGGCGGTGGTGGCGGTTCCCTGTTGGGTTGCCCTCCCCAAACCCGTGAAGAGGCACAAAAACGCAGAGAGGCAAGAGGGAATGGAAATAAAAAAGCATTTCAGCAACACTTAAAAGAAATATCTAAATAGAATTTGATCTTTAAAATAGGTGAATAACAAGGCTCTAAGCTATGGATATTGGTGCAATAACCCTGACAAATAGTATTATAGTCTTATCAGTCAATCAACGGATCAGTCAGAGGATGTACTTTTTTTTTCCTTCCTAACAAACATAACGGAGCAGCTTATTACTAGTCAGCTATCAAATGCCTTCAAATCTTTTGTTTTGTTTTGTTTTTTCTCCTTCCTGGGACTGAAATAAGTGAAAAGTTCTTTGTCCATTCTAACACCAAGGGTTTGCTTTTATTGGTGATTCCGTCTGACTAAGTAGGCAAACCTTGAAAGTGCGGGGACAACGTTCTTCTCCTTGTCACTAAAATACACGGGTCTTCTTTCAGTTTTAGTGAGAAAACACATAAAGTGTGTGCTCGTGTCTCTTTCCTTCCTGTCCCTCTTGTCTTCTCCTCCTTTCCCCCTTCTCACTCCACCACCTCAGTCCCTTTCCTCTGAAAACCGGGACTAAATTTCCAAGTGCAATGGAGTCCCTTTAAATTGTTTCGCATTTAATTAATGGGGATCATAAGGTTCAGTGGGTAATCCAGGAAAAAGCACGAAACTGAGCGGCAATGAAGCAACATCTCCAATTCCCAGATCTATCACAGGAAAAGCTGAGGCCAGAGTGGTTTTCAGTTAATCATTTATCCCAATACTTCGAGAAGAGGTGGAGAGGAATCTTATGCTGTAGTATATAGAGTTAAAAAAAAAATGCTTAAACACCTCTTTTCTTAAGGTTCTTTTAAATAGCATGAACAATAGAGGGTGATTGCAAGGAGACAATGTATTGAGGTGTTAGGGTTACGATGGCCTTTCTTGCTAAATCAGATGCGAGTTTGCAGGCGACCGTCAGAAACAGCTGAAAGTAAATAAATACTTCAAGATAATTTTAAGGTCACTGACTGTGCCCCAGAGTCACAAAAAATTAACTTGGGACTCGGACCGCTCAAGATTTTGCAAGGCGACAAGTTCTTTTGCCAAAGACAGTGCCAAGCAAATTTTAGATGAGCACTTGACAAGGGTACCGGAGCTTTTATTCCTGACACACGGAAAACCTTCTCTTCATTTCAGCAGAAATCGAGGGAAAGCCCTCAAAAAGAGCAGCCGGTAAGCTCTTAAAGCCGAGTTAAATCTGGTATTAATGCTCTTGGTGATTATTATCATCTTGATGATTTATCTGGCTCCCTCCCTCCCACTTTCACCACCCAAATCTTAATGGAACTGGGAGTTAACGATGATTTTTTAATGTCTCGTTGGATTTTTAGCCTGTTAATGTACCGCATCCTACTCATTATTAGTTTATTGATTGTTCATTGACCAGCCCCCTTCAAATCGTATTAACCACCCTCTGCCACTTTAGATTAAGAGAGTTTAAAAAGCACCTTTCATTATTTCACCGCCACCACCACCACCACAGTAGAGTTCAGGCTTGGTAGCTTAATGCTCGCTCTAATGGGGCAGCTAAGAGACGAGGGGCCACGGTCCCTGCCTATTGCATTAATAGCTCAAAGGGGGCTAATACAGAAAATTAGCCTTAAACGAGCTCTGGAGATCTCCAAATGAAAGAGCCATTTATCACGCTGGCTACCTTCACTCCACTCGTTTGCTCTCTCTACTGGGAACAACTCATTTCCTCTTAACTAAATTACTTCAGAAATGTCAAGTAAGCTCAGATAGCAAACATAACAAGAGGCTGTGTATATGTAATCTCTTGTGCGGGATCGATACGTGAGATAAATCGATAGCCGCGTGTGATTCCCTATATAATTTCCTCCAAAATTTCGGCCATCCTTTTGCATAGATAGATAATTCCCTCTGCAGGCCTCAGAGATCATAAAGGAAGAGGCAAAGCCTGACTTTTATAATTAAGTGTAGATGTCAAATCTCCTTTATACTTTTCCCACTACGTTACATTGAAATCATTTTAGGCACCAAACTAGGTTTTGGGGACGTAGACCCCCTGCAACCTCCGTCTCCCTGATATGCATCAGGGAGAGGGCTCCGCAGCACAGGAATCAGTCAATATCTGTCCGTCTGTCTGTGCCATTCACCTACAATAACAACTTACAGAGTTTCAACAACTTGTTCTTACTTCAAACTACACCCTCCCAGCTACAAATTGCAAGGGACAAAGCGAAACTGATACCGAACCCGCTTTGTGTTGCTCCTTCTCTAGTCTTGATTAAATATTGTCTGCCACAAATGTGACCTACTATTTGTTACCCATTTCTCTTCCCCCGGACCCAGGAAACTCGCTGTGAAAAAAAGAAACTGAGCTTACAATATTCCTTTATGCAGGGAAGTCTCTGAGAGCTCGGCATTACTTCTAAGGAAGAAAATATTCCTACAGTGACTTTAAAAACAGCTGCAGACAGATCTCGGGGTCTTTTTTAGCAACCTAATTTCCAAAGTGCATATGTAGCCTATTCATCATGGATAAACTCAGGGTATCTCTCCTTATGGCTGCAAATAGGCACAAGTAATCCCACCTATATGGGACTGTGCCTCTTTCTGCAGCAGCTGCTCGACTTGGGGCCCTTGCCGTGCCCATACACAATAAGCACACCCTAAATCCATACCTAATGCATGTAATTATTAACATTCACATTTTAGCGCCACTCGCTACCTAACTGCCACCCAGCATGCACATGGAATGTGTCTGCTGAACGTCTCCTGAAGGAGGGAGAGACACAGACAGAAGGGGGTGGTAAAAAAGGGTATTTTGGGCAGGGTTACCAACAGCAGAGTGTTTTGGGGGGAAAAAAAAACCAAAACACAACAAAAAACCCAGACATACTGCAAAATGAAAATGTGAGCACAGAGCAACATCAGGTAGAAATCTCTCAACCACAAATCAAGCACCAATTAATCAAATACACCCAAGAGGAAACGTCGAGTATGAGGTGTTAAGCGGGGGTGGGGAGGGGAGGGGTGGAGAGGAGAGTGAGGGAAAAAAAAAAAGGAGAAAAATAGAACCAGAGGCCATCAGGTTAGAGACCCTGAGCACAAAACCTCCTAAGCATTCAGACTGAACTGAAACAGGAGAAATTAGTTTATTTAATTTATTTTTTTAAATACGGCAAGTCATTTTCTGTTTCTTAAAACCACCTTCGACTTTTCAGCCGTTGGTCACAACTGATGCTGCCAAACGGTCTTCAAGTTTTCATCTGTCCTCTCTCAAATACCTAGAACTTGATCTTGTGTATGTGAGAGAGGCTGCACATGAGGATTTAACTTGTTAAAAAATAAATACGTAGAAGGACCTCATGCTGCCTTGAACACATTTTAAATAAACACCCTCCCTGTCATTTTCTTTCCATTCTAGAAGATCATCTCTATTAAAGTATTTGCGCGCATTTGACAAATAATAAGGTGTTGGAGATAAGCGCTTGCTGATAGTAAGCATAAGGGACAGCATTTCTAAGCCTCATCTCTGGTACTTAAAATTGAATCTAGAAATAGAAACTCCTTAGATAATTAAAGATAGCTTTCCATACATTTGCAGTGTGTGATCTGTTTAATGTCTATCAGCATAACACAACACTAATCGCCAAGCATCTTCGAGTGACTGTCAGAGAAATGTAAAAAAAATTAAGCAGCTGCAATACGCCCAAAATGAGTTATTGTAATTACATTTAATTAGTTTAATTAGTTAATTATTTTGCTTACAGCTGTACAAGAGACTGCAAACATTTGTTAATATCACATTCCCTTTAACAGTATGGGGTGATTCTGCAGTTACACTAAATCATGTGCGCATATGTAGAAAGGTTTAAAAAATGGGAATGGGGAAGGGGGGATTCTTGGGAGAAGGGGGGAAAGGAGGTCGGGACTGCCCTTCCACAGGCGTTTCTTTCTCTCCCCTTCACGTTTGGCTCGCCCGGGAAATGCATTCAAGCCCCTAAGGGAATTAACCCCTCTCTCCCATTAAAAGCCGAGGGTTCCCCATCGAGGACTATCGTGGGGGGAAAGAGGAGGGGGCCGGTGGAAACCGCTTTGGAGCGTGGGGTGCTCCATTGGAGAGCGTTTGTGTAATTAAACCCTTTGAAGGACGGGGGAGGTGGGTATCAACTTCTCCCTTCCCATCTCTTTCATTTTCCTTTCACTCTATCTGCTGATCCAATCAACTACCCATCTCGCTGCCACGGGTCCCTGCTTCCCCGAGAAATTAATTGCCCCCAAATAAAAATATATCATGAAGATATTGCTACACAGGAAAAGTTCGTCTAGCTTGTTGGAATAATCCATACCTTTTTTAATGACAGACTGGTCCAATAAGTTCATAGCGCTGTTATTGGCATCTTCAACTGACTGTGGATATAAAAACATCACTATTCAAATTGACTGGATATTAAAGAATCACGCACATAAATCATGTCATTCCAAACTGGAGTTTCTGTTATTTCTATTTATATTAATTCACTAGGGAAGGAGGGATTTTTATTTTTTTCCACTATTATTATTGTTATTGTTATTCCTCCAAATCGACACGGAAATGAAATTCTTACAAATTACATCGTCTTCTAATAAAAAATAAATAAAAAATGAAGTGTGAAGCATATGGGGTGCAATACTGGTTTTGTTATCTTACAAAACATAGATATCACATAGACTTCTTTGCATTCGATAAAGCTTTATATTTCTGCCTTTGAAAATCTGGCAACATCTGCAAGATCTATTGCATGACATAAACGAACACGATTAAGGACAACTTAAATTCTCCCTCCTCTTTCCTCCCCACTCCCTCCCCCCTCTTCTTCTTTTTTATTTTGTTTGTTTGTCACCCTGCTACATCTTAATAATTCAAGGACCATTTACTTTTTATATATAAGTTTACGTTGTGGACTTTTAATTAAAGCCTGAGCAACTCGAAGTGCAGCTCAACGCCCACGTCGTGCGGGGTAAAAACAGAAAGAGATTTACAGCTCCCGACGTTGCTTCCATGTCCTGAATTAGTGAGGACGGGGAGGGGGGAGGGGGAATATACGCGATCAAAAGTATGATCGCCTAGAAAAAGGCTCCCGATCTTCTTTTCAAAGCCTTTCTCCCCCTCCTTCCCCTTTTCCCCCCCTCTTTTCAGCCCGTTAAGGGGCACACCTGTTATTATGGCATTAAGTTCTTGAGCAGCGGAGAGAACAAAGGCGGGCACAGAGGACACAGTAAATGTTTGGTTTCGTTTCTCAACACGAAAGTGGAAGACAGAAAATAAACAAACAAACAAAAATTACCCCTGAACCTGCGGTCGGCACAGAAAAACCATCTCTCAAGGAGAAGAGGTGTCAGAAGAGCAATTTATTGCAGAATTACGACACGTTCCGTTTTAGGGTAAATTCTGGGTTTCAGAGAGAGGGAGGGCCTGTGGGTTTCTTGGGTTTATTATTTTATTTTTCTTATTATTATTTAGAGTTTGGGGTTTTCCGTGTTACTGCCTATTTGGGATGTTGTCCTATTTTATTTTATTTTTTTTCCCCTGATAAGGAAACCACCTTTACAGCAAAGCAGTTGTTTTCTTCCCTGTTATTATAACTTTATACACCGAGAGGCTGAGCATATCCAGATCCAGCCCTTATCTCCGGCTCTCTCTCTGCACAGCAGAGACGTTCAAGATGGAACATATAATTGAGGAGAAAATTACATCTCTCAAAAATGTGACAGAACGATCTTTTCTATTAGATCTCTCCTTTCATTTCCCTTGAATCCCCCCTCAAACGAGAGCACACACACAGTGGTTCCTTCTGTTGTGTGTTTGTGCCTGGCTGTGTCTCTCTCTCATAATCAATAGGCTACATACCTAAAGGGCACAAAATAAAATTGCAAAGTCTTTCCTCCTTTCCCAAAGAGGGATGATGAGCAAATCCTGCAGCCTGCTGGAGTGCATCGCCGTGCTCCTCGATGGTACAGAACTGGAGGTAAACATGAAACGCCATCTTTCCCTTTCTTTTCCTTTCCCTCCTTATCTCACCTTATCTCTGGAGTCTGTGGCAGTGCACAGGCTTTATGTGTGTGCGTGCACTCCGCTCGCTCCATCAGCAACGTGGGTTAGTTGTTGTAGTTAATGAGAAGACTCCTGTCTGATTTTCTATCTAATTACGCCCTCCTGCTGGGTTTTTGTACAGGATATTCGCTCAGCATGCTGGCAGTTAATAGTCACAGAGAGGATCGTAAAGATTTAATTAGGACTGCATGCGGAAACGTGGAAAAACAACTCAGACTTTTAATTACTAGACTTCTTTAGTTAAAAGTGATACCAGGGGTTACTTTATAAGAGACTTGGGTGTTTTTGGTGCAACTTAACTTTCCGTGTCTCTAGCTGGCACACGGGAGCGGGGCCGGCAGCGGGAGGGAGGAGGAGGAGTGGAGGTGTGTGTGCAGGGAGGGGAAAGGTGATGAGTTTCCAGATATACTTAGAAAACCTAGAGAGGAAGATTCTCCACCCTCCTCTCCTTCAGTAATCTGATAGCACAGATTTTCCTGTATACCAAATGTATACCCACTTTATTCAACAGCTATGGATATATCTGAAAAAATAACCCTGAAGGTCGATCTCTTTGGTTTCCTTTAAAGAATCTGGATTTTGCCCTGTATATTTTCTTCATGCTGCTAAAACTCTACTTTTGCCCAGCCGGTGGGGGGAGAAGGGAAGGAGAACTGAGATTGCAATGGTGTTTTCCAGAGTGCCTGTTAGATGATGCAAATTTGTTTTCAGTAAGAAGGTCTTGGTTTCTCTGTTCCCTGTCTGAGGGCTGTAAATCCCAGATTGAAAATTCCTCTCGAAAGGGGCAGCAATAGCAATACAATACGTCCTGTTTACAATAACAGAGCGCTATCGTGTTACAATCACTTAATTCTGCCCCTGGACAATGGCTCACACATGGCCTGGATTTGGTGTTTATAAAATAACCACTGTTTCTTTCTGTCACGCACTCTCTTTCTCTGTTTCGTTCCCCCTTGTCAGCCCAGCCCATTTTCATGGCACGTATTTGAGCAGACATGCGTAAGCTAAAACACAGGCACAACTTTATCCAACTATATACCTAGATGTCGTTTCGACTCTTTCTGGTTTCTCCTGACTACTAAAAAAAGAAACTGTTTGGGACCCTTCCTGGAAATCCTTTCTAGTGTTCTTGGATAATTAAGTATATATAACAGAAATAGGAATCCTTGTATTTAGAATAGATGCCTGGTGTCTGTAATAAATCTATATTAAATATCAGGGTGGAAAACTGCTCAACTTCATCTGTCACTAGTGGGAGGACAAGAACAGAACATGCTGAACAGTAGGAGCGAGCACTGGGCTGCTTTCCCTCCTGCCTGTGCTAACTTGCAGTTGGACACTTCTTCCTTCACGTGTCTCTCCTTGGGATACCCTCCTCTCCCTCTTCCCCTCCTCCCCCAGCCTGAGATCAAACTTTTACAAATAAAGAGCCTGTTTCTTTTCCCGCTTTCTCGGCACCCCAAAACAAGAACTCCAGCTTTGCTTGCCCTCCTCCCCAGCCCCGTCTGCCCCGGTCTGTCCCTGGCCTGAGCCCCAGCCCCAGGCTACTGGGTGCGACAGGGCAAAGCTCTGGGCTCGGAGCCGTCGGGGGAGGCTCTTCCCGCGAGTGCTGTGCCCTGCCCGTAGAAAGGATGTTTTATTGGAAAACAGAGAGAGAGCTGCTTTATTTGAGCTGAGCAGGCCCTTTCCTTCCTCTCTCTCTTTCTCTCGTTCTCTCTCTCTTCCTTTTCTTTATTCCTTCTTTCTCTGTCTTCTTCTTTTTTTTCTTCTTTTACCTAGCTTGTTTCTTTCTCTATCTTTTCTTCTTTTTCTTTCTTCCTCCTTTTAAAATATTTTTCTTCTCTCTTCTTTATCTCTTTCCCTTTCCTTCCCTCCTCTCTCTCTTTCTCTCTTTCTCACAAGTGCAATTACCGGCTTTTCTTGGGGGAAAGAGGAAATATCAAAGCACAAACTCTAGTTAACGTCTACGGGTTGCAGAGAGAAAGAGGGAGAGCGGTCTCCTTCCTGCATTCACAGAGGCAAAACTCGCCTTGACCTGCAAGCCAGTTTGTCTGAGCCAGGAATGCGAGACGAGACCTGCGCATCGCGCCCGTCGGGGTCAGGGCTGCCCCGAGGTCTCAAAAACCAGCTTGGAAACCCGCAGAAACCAGCGACCCGACGGTCACCAAGCTCGGAGGCAGGAGCAAATCCAACAAGAAAAACCTTTCTATTTCTAAAGCAGCTCTTCCCCAGCAAAGCTAGGAGGTTTTCCCGTGAAGCCCTAAGCCAAGCCTGAAGCCAATGCGATACAACCTCCCCTGGCCCGGCCACTTCTCTGCCTCTGATTCCTGTAATTTTCTGCAGGATCCTTTTTCACGACTATTTTTTTTTACCCCTCCCAAGCCTCCTCGTTCCTCCTTCCTTTCTCTCTTTGTAACTTTAAAGTCATTATTTCCTCTATATATTCATCTATTCCAAGTTTAAACATATATATATATATATTCATGGTATATATGATACGTAAATTTGGAGGGAAAAAAAAAGAAGGGAATCCCCACATCCCAACTAATAAAGCTCAATATGGGACCTGGTCCCTGGAGGCTTCAGCCTCTGGCTTGGGGTTGCCAGCCTGTTGGCCTGACCAGCTCCAGCAAGGTGCAAAACGCCCCAGCACCGAAGCTGTTAAGGGCCTTGCTGTTTTTAGGAAATAACACGTGATGATGAGTTTCGCGTGGGATGGAAGAAGGCTGGGAAATATTGTGATTTAAGCCAGGTGAAACTCCTTTGTTAACCAAAAGAGGGAATAAAACTGCTGAAAATCAGTGCTACCTTATATTCGAAGAAAAAAAGAAGAAAAAAGAGGAGGTGGCTTGTGTCTGATCACCGGTTATTGCTTTTCGTTTGGGTTTTGTTTCTCTCTTCCTCCCCTCGCACATGAAAAATGCAGTAATTCGACAGTTTCATCAAAACCCCTGAACTGCAGGAAATTGGTTGGGGGTGGGGGAAGCTGGAGTTGCATGGGAAATAACTGGAATTTGAAAAGCCATGCTTAAACTCTGCCAGCGTTTGAAACACGTGGAATATTTGGAGCAGCGTGTCTGCCTTCCCCCTGCACTCTGCTGGTTTGCCATCTAGGGGAGGGTTTACAAAGCAGAGCCTGTGCGTGACTGTCAGGAAATAAATTCGCTTTAAAAAAAAAGAAAAGGCGAGGGAGGGCTGGTATCACGGTTGTAATCCCAGGGCGACAAAAGGATGGTTCCCCACACCGATATTGCTGTAACACCCTCACTGTGCGTTTCTAGCTGGGAGCTCCAGCCTGGAAGGCATCTCTCCGCCTTTGCCCAGGAGAAAGAAACGCGGTGCCTTACCTGGACCTCCTCCATCCCTGGGTGTCCGATGCCATGCAGGGAAAGGCTGTCCCCCATGCCGGAGTCAAGGCCATGGTGAGCTGAGTGCAGAAGGACATCTGGCCTCCTTACTGAGTGGTAGTCCCGCCTGGGGTCCAGTCCCGAGAGCTGGGGCAGGGCGGCCCGAGGCTGTGGCAGCAGCGACCCGGTTTCTGATCCCACCTCTTGCCTCTGCCTCTGTCCCCAGGGGTGCTGCTGGGGTTGATGCAAGGGGTTTAGGGAGTAGGGGTCATTGACATGGGAGTAAGGGTCCTGGCTTTGGTGGTAAGGAAGAGGCTGGTAGGGGGGTGGGAAATAAGGCGGCTGGAAATCCGAGGATGGGGTGTGAGACAGCGGAGGAGCGCTGGAGTAGGGTCCCTGGGAGACGGATCCCAGCTGGGACAGCCTGGAACTGTGGCTGGGCACTCCATCATGCCGGTCCTGCAAGCGGAATGAAAGAAAAACAACAACAACAAAAAAAGAGAGGACCTTTTAGGTCTCAAAGGAGCATAAGCCCACCCCAAAATAAAATGAAATAAAAAGAAAATGTAAACAGTCGTAAAGCAGGATTCAGATCTGCTCCCCTCCCCCGCAAAGGATTAGGAATGTTTCAGCATTTCGCTTCCAGATCGCCTCTATTCCCAATAACTATCGAAAAGGGGGAAGGGTAGTGTGTGAGGGGGAAATGCTAAATGTCATAACTAAAAGTGTAGGACTGGTGCTCCATATTCATGTGTGATCTGTGACTTCAGCCCCGTAATGAGAGTCTCCCTCCTGTAGCCCCCCCCCCAATAAAACCGAAGGTAAATAATAATAATGTATATATAAAAAATTAAGAACTGCCAAGCCACCCATCCTTTCAACATCCACCGCTTGTCCTGCCTAAAGTTTCCAAACATCTATTTATTCCTGCAAAAAAAGAGAAACTCATCATCACCAACCCTTTTTCACGTGGAAAAGACCAAAAGGAAAGTTGCACTTCTCGGAGGACTCCGAGGTAAGAAGGTGTCCGATAAAGGACTTGATAAAAATACCAAAACAAAAATCACGGGGGCTCTTTGAGCAGAAAGAGTCCACCCCTAAAACAAATAAAAAAAAATAATTTAAAAAATCGAATAATATAAAAATAAAACATCGGTATTGAACAAATCCAATCGCTACGATCTCTGCAGCAACTTCCAGTGTCTTTTGTCTCCTTTTCCAATATTATATTCCGGAGAATGGGGTGGGGGATCCATGGTAATGAAAAGTCTTTGGGGTTGTGGAGAGGGGACGGTGTGTGAGGTGGGGGGAGGCTGGGGAGGCTTCAGAGAAAATGTGGGAGAGGAGTTTTGTCCAACTCCATCGCGCTGAGGCTGCGAGGCTAAAGTCAACAAGAAAAAGATCTATTCCATAAAGTGGAGCTCAAACCCCCACAAGCAATGGCACACATGGTTTAAAAAAAAAAGGAAAAAAAAAGAAAAAAAAGTTTATTTTTTAAATTACCAAGCCAAAGGCGTTTAAAAAGAGAGAGAGAGGGAGAGAGAGAGACAACAGATCGAGAGAGAGAGAGAGAGAGAACATGCAATTCTAGTACAACATGGATCCAAACTCACCATGGCGGAATAGGTGTGGACTAACATCTGGAAGTAAAAAAAGTCTTGTAATAGCTAAAAATAAAATAATGGTGAGAATACTAATAATTGGAGGGAAAAAAAAAATATCAAGGAGATCTGCAAAGGGACGTGTTGGACACAGGAGAACAGCTTGAGATATTTCGAAGTCTATCCATCAAAAAAGAAAAAAAAAGAAAAAAAAAAGGGAAAAAAAAAAAAAAAAAAAAAGAAAGAAAAGTACAGCCAGCATGAGAACATAAGACTAGCAGATATAGCCAGGCTGAGGTTTTAGTAGTAGGCTGAAACACTGAACCAGCCTGCTTTTTGGTGGTTTTGGGGTTTTTTTTGTTGTTTGTTTTTACCTTTTTTCTTTCTTTTTTTTCCTTTCTTTTTTTTTCTTTTTTTTTTTTTTTTTCCCTTTGAGCTTCCCAGCACAACAATCCTCTTCAACCCAAGGCTAAGCTCAGACTGCTCCGCTACCCCTTCCTCCCTTTCCTTCTCTACACCGCCTCATAATAATTGATATTCATGACTATTAATATTACACGACTACTTTAAAGGGAGAATGCAGGACCAAATGGAGCGTGAAGCTGGCAGCCAGCTCGAGAGCTCCCCTACTATTGTAAATGACGTTCATTCAGTGGAGAATTACTAGATGTAATCAGACGAGGGGGGCTGGCAGAGGCAGAGTTTGGGGAGAGGGAGAGGGGGGGAAAAAGTTTAGCAAGGAAGAGGCAGAACTTCCAATTAACTCGAGCGGAGGAAGATGAGGGAAGGAGACAGTGCTGAGCTGGAGCAAGGAAGTGAGATGAAGCGGTGCTAGAGGCGAAGAAGAAAAGAAAAGCATATTTCTTTTTTTTTTGTCTTCCCCCCCCATTTAATTATACATTCCGAACACGAGGGATTGATTGTCTTTTGTTCTTGTCGTTTTTGTTGTGTTTTGCTTTGTTTTCCTTTTTAAAAATAAACGTATAATGAGGAAAAAAAGACTTTTTTTAATCCTTTTTTTTTTTTTTTTTCCTTGGTCCTTTTTTTGTTTGTTTTTAAGAATGGAAGAAGAAACGCGCAGTCACTATAATATATCCATTTACAGACGAGATTAAACCCTTCTGGTACATGTAACTGAGTGTATTTCTTCACAACAGCCAAATAAATACTTGAATCTGCGTTAAGTTGGGGCTCCGCTTTTCTTTTTTTCTTTTTTTTTTTTTTTTCTCCCTGAATCCTGTTCCTCCCGCCCGATAGGAAATAAATAAAGAAATAAACCTACTTATACCTCCCGATTTTCACCCAAATGTAAAAATCTATGCAGTGAATTTTAAAGGAGAGTAAATTCATAGTTTTGAGGCAAAGCCAGGGGCGATATAAAACCTTTTTGATGTTTCAGGAACCCGTTCAACTGGACTGTCTGCCATTTCTGTTAAAGTTCAACTTACGTTCCTTCCTAAATAGACTTACACTTCCCAGAGCAGCCATCC